TTCATAATAACGCCGGACCAGAGCCCCTTCAGGCCAGAGCTCAGCAGTCTACATTTCACCAACGTCATTCCATTCAGCAGTCACTTTAAAAGACCCAACCCTGCCGGGTACATTGTCGATTTCTTGGCAGGTGACCTCCCTGTTAAGTTTACCTTTAAGATACAAGGCAAGCGTCTCTGCTTCCAGGTCAGGGGAAAATTTCGTGGCAAATACACTCATTGATCTGGTCTTCACAGTTTTGATGGTACTCTCCACTCCAGTACCTACAATCGGTACGAGCCCACGTCTCTTATTACGGACACCGGTAGCATCAAGCACACCCGAACCCGCAGCAGCATTCAGCCTCTTCTGCCGAGACCGGCCACTTTTCACAACTTTACTCCATGGTGGGGAGCCTGTGAGAGACATTGCCCCAACTAACTGGTCCTTCCCCATTACAAGAGTTTCCATGTTGTTACCAGGGGCTGCCATCACAGCCCCATCGCGGCTGCAGTGATCAGGACCAGGCCAGCATGATGAAACGTCGCTCTGTGTGTGGAGGCCATCCAAGCCAGCTCCATACCTCAAGGTCCCGCGTTCTTCATCTCGCCTCCCCTGCAGTTCCACAGGATGGTTCTCCCATGCAGTGTGAGAAGCAGTCTCTGGACCCAGTGTTTTTTTATATTGTTGGCATCTCTGTGCTGTCCTTTATATCCAATACATTGCTGTGTAGTTCCGGGACGGAGCTCGAACAACACTTTCTTGGAGGCCAGGGAAAGGTAGGGAACTTCTATCCACTTAGTTATTAACTTAGAGAATATTATAATACTTGGAGACTAGGGCTGTCGCGGTTAGGAAATTTCCCTTGCGGTTTTTATGGGTGGCTCAATAGCGCGGTATGCGGTATTACCGCCGTTTAAAAATAAATAAATAAAAATCTTGATTTTACTGCATACAAAGCTCTATTGCTGAGTTATGTAGCATATATTGTTGCTTTTTAACTGACAGAGAGACAAAACATTTTTTGTTTATTTTTTTAATGCCAAACAGCAATAAGAACATGCCTTTTCCGATTTAAAAAACGAAATCAAATCATTCTAAAGTAGGCTAACTATAAACAAACAATAAGAAATTATTTTTTCCAATTTGAAAAAAGAAAAAATTCTAAAGTATCACATGAAAACGAAGTGTTGGCCTAAGTGAAAATACAGAGAATAAATTAAAATTAGGCCTACTTAAGCTTTAACGAATGTGATTTAGACCTGGGTTATCATATCCTTGTATCCTTATGTGGTTTCAGGGAGGATCGCATGGGGGTAACAATATTCCCGGCGGCACTGAAAACCCTTTCCGACGGTGTGCTCGTTGCACAAATACACATGTATTTGCGCGCGACTTTAGACAGCAGCGGATATCTAGACTGATTATCGCGCCACCAGGACAGTGGGTTCGCGTTGGAGTCTATGCATTCTTCCTGCAGGTAGCGCGTGAGCTCGTTATCTGCTCGCACTCTCTTGGGTATGGGCGCTGACGCAGAGGTTGTCCGTGACTTCAGCAGGTCTCCGAGAGTCTTTTTCTTTGCTGCAGGTGGCACCACCGCTTGCTCTTCGTCTCCAACCACTGATGCACTGGCAGCGCTCCCTTCGTCCTCCACTCCCACCATCTCTTCGATGAGTTTGGATTTTGTCTCCGTATCATTGATATAATCACCCCTATATCGAGGATCTAAAAAACAGGCCTTTTCCAAAAGTTCTTGTAAGGCAGCTGGTTCATACTTCCCCTGTAGAACACTGCACATTTTGTGCTTTATGTCCGATGTTAATGTGGTGTCCTCATTTGACGGTTTAAGCATATCTTCTGTCAGGAGTTTCAGGACGGGTTTGACTGAAGACACTGTAACGTAGCTCTCGCCAGACAGCAGATCCGTAAACTCAGCCGCGGGTTTAAGTGCTGCATTCACGGATTCAAGTACAGCAATATCCTGCCAGCTTGGATTTAGATGGTGGTGTCGCCGGTCATCCAAAACTCTTCTGATAGCCGGGATTTGCTCCAAAACCCTGTCCACCATTTTCTGTTTGGTGCCCCATCTAGTAGCGCAGTCCTGAACAGAGTATTGACCGTTAAATCGTTGAATAAAAATTAGCCAATGACAACATCTACTATTTAATTAGCCTACCAAAATAAAATTATAAGATACATTTTTAAATATATTTTACTAAACAAAAAAAATATATACTTTTAAATAATCCCGACTGCAAAAGAATGCATATTCATTAAATGTGCGCAGACAGATATGGACGTTAAATTGAGCTAAAAATAACCTAAATATGTTTTTTTCAATATGTCCTACCTTTTGAAAGAAATTTAGTTTCAAAATATTTATTTTTAAACGAAAGATACATTTAAATCCAGCAACAGACATGCTATTGTT